TGAGCTGATAATTATCTTTTTTAATTTTATTTATTTTTCCTTTTTTCTTTTCTTTTTTATTTCTGTCTTTTTAAATGCCTTTGCAAATACTGACAAGCCGCTGCAGCAGCGGCAGCAAATGAAGCGGCGGCAAAGCAGCAGCAAAACCGCCAACAGCATCCGCAGGTGTTTGAGGCCTAGCGCGAAGGGTTTAGAACTAGGGGTTAGGGTTTAGGGCTAAGGGTTTAGGGTTTAGGGGTGTTTCATTTTGCAGCCTCCGGAACATAGTGGAGCACTGCATGCGCGCCACTGTGGTGTATCATGACCTTTGGTCTGTCAAAGTCACTTTGAAGCCAGGAGGACATTTCAACAGAATCAATTCAACTACAAGAAAAAAGGCAAGACCAGCAGCGGCAGCTGGAGCAGCAGCAGCAGCAGCAGCACGAACGGCCATTGTAGCAGCAGGGACAGTAGCAGCGGGGCAGCAATGCAAGCAGAAGCACACAGCGCTGATGTCTAAGCACTGAGGCATCGCCGCCGAAGGCTAACAAGTGCACTGGCAGAGCGTCTTCAGCAGCAGCAGCAGCAGCAGCAGCAGTAGCAGCTGAACGAATGAAACAAGTGGAGGAAGCCAGTAGCCAGCAGTTTGGTGTATTGAACGAAATCAAAATCCCAGATAAAGACCGCCGTGAGAGCATTGCTGCTTTCAACGCCGCTCTCACTCCTGCTGCCGCTGCTGCTGCTGCTGCTGCTGCAGGAAGTGGTGGAGGCTGAGGGGGAGCCCGTGAAGGAACTTTCCTTCACCATGAGCAACTACTTCAGTATGGGCGTTGAGAGCCGCATCGGCAGAGGCTTCGACAGATACCGAACCAAGTCGCAAGTCTTCAACAAAATGGTACGCAGCAGCAGCAGCAGCAGCAGCAGCAGCAGAAGCGATTGCAGCAGCAGCAGTTACAGCAGCAGCGGCAGCAGTGGAGGAAGGACCAGCGCGAGGGGTGGCAGAACTAGCAGCAGCTGCAACGGGCGCGCCCGAGGCTGTAGCAGCAAGCGCAGCAACGGCAGCAGCAAGCGCAGCAGCGGCAGCAGCATCTTATTTATTTATTCTTTTTTCGTCATTTTGTTTTTTTCTTGCTGCAGAGGTATGGCATTGAGGGCTTCAAAAAGACATTTGTGACACGGACAAAAAGCATAAATGAAATTATCTTGGACCTGAGGATACACCCCAACACCCCAGAAGAACAGACCCTCTTCACCACCGACAAAGCAGCAGCAAAGGCTCAGCAGCTGCCGCTGCTCAACAGTAAGATGGCACCAAAGGCTGCTGCAGCGGCAGCAGCAGCAGCAGCGTCAGCCCTAACCACAGCAGCAGCAGCAGCAGCAGCAGCAGCTAGCGCAGTGCGGCCAGCAGCGCGCCCAGCAGCGGCAGCAGCAGTTCGCTCCGTCAGCAGCAGCAGCCCTACCCACAGCAGCAGCAGCAGCAGCAGCAGCAGCGTGCGGTTCGCGTGTGCGCCTGCTGCAGAAACGGCTTCTTTGGTGGTTTTGAACATTCCGAGCTTCAGCGGAGGAAACGACATATGGGCTCCTTCAAAGAAACTTGCAACAAGAATGTTTGACAAACAAAAACAGAAACAAAACAAGGTGCGAAAATCACAAACTGATGCAGCAGCAGCTGGGGGGAGGGGCCCCCGAGGGGCCTCCAGCCCCTCTCTTGGGGGCCCCTTAGACTTGGGGGGCCCCCCAGGGGCCCTCGTGCCCTTCTTGGGGGCCCATCAGGTGTGGGGGGCCCCCAAGGGGGCCGGTATCCCCTATTCGGGGCCCCCTAGACTCGGGGGAACCCCAAGATCTGACAAGGACAGCAGCAGGAGCAGCAGCAGCAGCAGCGGCTGTGAATCGCGCTGGGACCCCGCAGCCGCTTTGCTGCGGTTTTCACTGGGCCCGTTTTACCCATAATAAAATTAATGCGGAAGAATAGAAATAAAAATAAAAATAAAAATAAAAATAGAATGACAATGAGAACATGATTATGAATATGAATGTGAATATGAATATGAATATGAATATGAATGAGGATGGGAATGCAAAACAAGTAAGAGTAAGAACATGACTAAAAAGACGAAAATGAATAAATATAAGAATTAAAAGAATAAAAATGAAAAAAGGAAAGGAACAATTATAATATGAGCAGCAGAAGAGTGTTTTGTGTGCTGCCAGGAGCTGCTGAAAGTGCCGCAGCAAATGGGAGATGAGAAACTTGAATTTATGACCTTCAAGAATATTCCCTCATTAGGAATGGAGTTTGTAAGTGCTGCGCTGCTGCTGCGCGCTTCTGCTACTGCGCGCTGTTGCTGCTGCCGCGCGCTTTTGCTGCTGCTGCGGGCTTGTGTTGTTGCTGCGGGTGTTTGCTGCTGCTGCGGGTGCTTGCCCCTGCTGCGGGCGTTTGCTGCTGCTGCGGGCGTTTGCTCCTGCTGCGGGCGTTTGCTGCTACTGCGGGCATTTGCTGCTGCTGCGGGCATTTGCTCCCGCTGCGGGCATTTGCTGCTGCTGCGGGCGTTTGCTGCTGCTGCGGCGCTGCGGGCTTTTGCAGCTGCTGCGGCTGTGTGCTGCGGCGTTTCTTTTCCCCTGCCTCTCTTTTGCTGCTGCTGCTCGCCTGCGCTCCTCCGTTGCGTGGCTGCTGCTGCTACTGCTGCTCCCGAGGCTCCCCTTGTGTTCTTGAATCTGTTTATTTTTGTCCTCTCTCTTTGCTGCTGCCCGCTGCTGCTGCGGCTGCTGCTGCAGATGCTTCACGGCAGAGGCTGTCGCCTCCACAGCGGCAAAGGCCCCTGGCAGATATCCTTTAGGTCTCTCGATGAAAAGACTCGAGTTTATTTCCAAGTTAGTCCAAAGACCTTAATTGCAAACTCCTTTTCCCCCTTCTTAGCTCAAAAAGGCCCCTAAACCCCCCCTCGGAGCCCAAAGGGGCCCCCGGGGGCCCCTAGGGGCTCCCG